GGCCCCAGTCAGCGATCTGCCGACAGCGGTGGGGGCCAGAAACTTGCCAAGAGACCGACGGAGGGCAGCCAGCTCGTGTTCCGAGGTGCCATGCACCTCGCAACCATACGTTCGGCTGGGTAGCGCCTGGGTCGCGAAGATCTTCCGATCGAAACGCCCCAGCGACGACTTGTGCAAACGAAGACGAGCGATTTTCTACGAGCACATGGTTTTACGAACCAGCTCCTCCCTTCCTCTGCGACCAACGCGACGGGGCTGCCCAGCCGTGTCGTCAATGCCTAAGTTGACAGCCGAGGCGGACGCCTGACCAGCAAGCTTGAAGAGGTGGCTGCGCATCGCCTGGGCAAGGCGAGGGCTCGAGGAAACAGTGGCAGCCTTATTGACGATGGTGGCACAACCGAGATCGCCCTCAATGGTTCCTTGCAAACAGGCAGTGGCTTCCTTGAGGACTTCCGCCACCGCCGCCCCGGGGCCAACGCTGGATAACGTAAAGTCATCAATGTAAACCCGAAGGGAAATGGCGCGGGGGATCTGCAGGCCATCGATGGGGGCCGATCCAGAACACGCGAATCAAGGTGGTGGCACACCCGCATCCAGCGACTATACCACGCCAAGCGAACCGCGGTCACTCGACCCTGCCCGACATGGACATGTAGCGCGCCGATCTATAGGCGGCGATGCACAGTCGACTGATCTGCAGCGGGAAGTTATGCTGGCGGCAACGCGCGCCGAGCAGGTTGAGGTCAACCGTCTCGTAAAACTTCAACAGGTCCCAGAGTACCGAGCACGACTGCTCACCTGACGTGACCGCGACCTTGCTCCGCACGCTTTGCCGCCAGACGGTGTCGACCGAGGAGGCGGAAGAGCCTGCAGCAACGTACTCGCGGGCATGCGAACAACAACTGGGAGCCCAGTCCCCTGTGAAGATAGGTCGCAGCCAGGGTCGAAGGTTCCAACTTGAAATCGCCTCCGATGACGTGGGGGCTCGAAACGCTTCTAACCCTAGCGGTCACCGAGGCCAGGAGGTCCTGGTTGAAATCGTTCAAACCAACACAGTCCTGGGGGTAAACCGAAACAACATAAAACGAACTCTGACCTGGAAGGTGGATCAAAACTCCAGTGACATGGTTCGGTTTTATGCAGGCACCAACATCGGGGCGAGCGAGCCCAGCCGCACCAGCCGAGGGCCCACCGTTTGGGCCCAGGGTGCCTGGTTCAAACTGAGACTTCCACCCATTTCGAATACACCAAGCCTGCGCTTTGCAGATTTCCTCGGCGCTGATGAGCTTGTGCTCCCGGCACAGCACCACGTGGGCAGTGGTCAGGGGCAGGAACTGCTTCATCGAAGCCCACGGCGTGCAGTTCGCGGTAACGAACTCCATGCTCACCGAGTCCCATTGTCCCCCCTCCGTGCGATGACCAGACGCGTTCCGCGTGGCATCCAAGATTGGGCAGGAGGGGGGATCATGGGGTAGGGGGAGGAGTTCGTCACCACAGACGTGTTACCCACCAGCTGGCTTGCCTCCAGGGCCCCCCTCTGCTGCGCCCCCCCGCTGAACGGCCTGGCCTGTCTGCTCGCGGACATTGGGAGGGCCAGAAGACGGGGCGGCCTCAGGAGGGGCCTGAGCGGCAGGCGCAGACTCCTTCGGAGTGCCTGGCGCAGCGGGCACAGCAGATCTAGGAGAAGGCGGCACGGGCTTGGACAGCCCTTCGCTGGGATCGTGAGAGAGCTGGCCAGCTGCCGCTGCGGGGGGGGGTGCTTCCGCAGGTGGCGGGTCGGCCTCGCGAGGTGGATGAGCGGCTCCGTCATGTGCGCTGGCAGCTTCTGCTCCGCGACGCTTCTTCCCCGATGGCCTGGCCTTCTGCTCTGCCTGCTCTGCCTTGAGCTTCTTGGCCTTCTCCTGGAGCTCGCCAAAGAGGCGGGAGCAGGAGTCCTTGATGGTGGTGGCGGGCAACGCTTTGCGAACGGCTGCCTCCTGGATGTCGCGCTCCTCCACGTCCACGTACTCCGCCAGGCCGAAGAGGTCGTCGTCGTCCACCTCGAGGCCTGTGAGGCGCCCCATCCAGGATGTCGGTGATCGAGACATTGGGCGCCTTCTCGGCTGGCGGCTCCATCGTAGCGTGGAGCTCGGCGACAGTCTGCTTGTACTCAGCATCGTGGCGGTCGAGCTCGGCCAGAGTGGTCTCCAGCTGCTCGCGCTTGGTGGACAGCTTCTGCTCCAAGCCACGTACTGCGTTGAGCTGGCGATCCAGCGCGCCCTCCAGCCGCTGGATCTACTTGTGAGCAGCATCGACGCTGTCACGAACGACACCTTTGTTTCCGACTGTGCCAAAAAACCACACGTGCCTCTTGAATGCAAAGGTACACTGTGTCTGGTTGTATTCTGGGACTCTTTCGTACACACCAAATTTGCCAGAAGATGTCAAGCCAGGCTCTGAGAACCTTCTGTTTTGGCCTTCAAAGAGGGGTGGAGGAAGGGGAGGACGACGACGAGAAGGAGGAGAAGGAGGAAGAGGAAGAGGAGGGTGATATATATATATATATAGAGAGAGAGAGAGAGAGAGAGAGAGAGAGAGGGAGAGAGAGAGAGAGAGAGAGAGAGAAAGAGAGAGAGAAAGAGAGAGACAGAGAGAGGGAGAGAGAAACAGAGAGGAAGCGAGAGAAGTCCACACCCCGCCCTCCACGTCACGTCCATCCCTTCTGCTGGCCCTCGCTCGCCCCTGCCGCCTCGCAGCCCCTTCCTCCTGCCGCTGATCCCCGTGCTGCTCCTGCTTCCCCTCCCTCCTCCCTCCTTCGTCCCTCCTTACTTCTCCCTCCTCCCTCCTCCTTCGCCTTCTCCACCCTCAGCCTTCGCCTTCTCCGCCTCCCCCTGTTCCCTCCGCCCCCCCTTCCCCCTCCTACCTCCTACCTCCTGCCTCCCCCCCCTCCTCCTCCTCTCCTCCTCCTCCTGCTCCTCATCTATTCTTTTTCCTTGTACATAATTTCTCCCTGTCGCACTCCGGGGCCAGTTTTTAGGGTGGGCCGGGCGTTTCGCCTGAGACTTCCTCACCACTTATGACCCTGATGCTTAAAACTTGACAGCAGTTTCACAGATGGAGGGCGGGTGGTTTTCAAAATGTGGTTCTCGCTCTAGCGCCGCGCACATTCGTTTCCAAATTTGCATCAACTTCACGGATTGAGGGCGGGTGGTTTTCAACATGTGGTTTTCGCCTTAGCGCCGCGCGCAGTGCTTCACAAACTGTGCAACAGTTTCACGTATTGAGGGCGGGTGGTTTTCAAAAGGTGTCTCTCGCCTTAGCACCGCGCACATTCGTTTTCAAAACTTGCAACAGCTTCACGGCTTCACGGATTGAGGGTGGGTCGTATTCGAAATGCGGCTCTCGCTTTCGCGCCGCGGGCATTCGTTTTCAAACTTTGCAACATTTTGACGGATTGAGGGTGAGTGGTTTTCAAATTGTGGCTGTCGCCGTACCGCCGCGCACATTCATTTTCACACAGTTGCCACAGTTTCACGTATTGAGGGCGGTTTCTTTTCAACATGTGGCTCTCGCTCAACCGCCGCGCACAATGTTGTTAAACATGACGAGAGTTTCGCGGATTTTCATGATCGACGTACCAGAAATGGTGTTTTGAAAGGATTCGCGATTACGAGGGCGCAACAGTCATGATGATCCGCGGTGGTGAAGTCCCAGGAATGGCGTTCTGGCGCGATTCCGGATCGTCAATACGCAACCGTCAAGTTTTTCTGTGGCGTTGGAATACAGAACAATGTTTTGGCATGCTTCATGTTCTTCAATCGGGTGTCTTCCAACGAGGCACGTCTCTCTGTATAAATGAACCATTGTAGGGGCTTATGAAGAGGGAACTTGGGGGGAGGGCTAATTCTAACATCGTCGGTGACGCTTGGGTTTACACAAGTCCTCCTCGTCCTCCTCCTCCTCCTCCTCCTCCTCCCGCTTCTCCTCCGCCCAGTCGCCGTCGGCATCTCGAGCAGAGTACCGACCCTCAAGAGGGAAACGAAGGTATCCCATGTCAGCGGCACCCAGGGACATAGCGCCTCCGCACGCCCAGGGGATGGGGAGGCGTCCCAAACACACAGCTCTATTACCGCACTCTCTTGCGATCGTTCATGAATTCACGGTGCCGCACGTCTTGGCGTGACCCAGAACAACGTCGAACGCGCGCCAAAGAGGCGAACATGACGGACACGTGCCAGAAACTGCCAGCAGGCCAAAGCAGGTACATTGGAGGCGGCGCCACTTGAGAACCTCACGCGCCCTCCCCAGAGCCGCCGTCGGCTGCGCCACGCCGCGCCGCGCCCTCGGCTGCCGCGCCACGCCGCGGGGCTGCGCCGCCGAGCCGTGCCGCCGCGCCACGCCGTCGGCTGCCGCGCCGCGCCGTCGGCTGCCGCGCCACGCCGCCGGGCCGCGCCGCCAAGCCGTGCCGCCGCGCCACGCCGTCGGCTGCCGCGCCGCGCCGTCGGCTGGTGTGTGTGTGTGTGTGTGTGCGTGTGTGTGTGTGTGTGTGTGTGTGTGTGTGTGTGTGTCCTCCGCCGCCCCACCCGCCTGCTGCCCGCCGCGCGCCCGCGCCCGGCGCTTTCCAGCTTCGGGATGCGATCCAGCAGTGTGCGCCTTGCCGAGGGCACTCGGGCGGTGCCTGGAGCGTAACACACAGACACAATGAATCTTCGATTCCCGAGAAAATATGGGGAAATATGGGAAGTGGGGGGGGGGGAAGACAGAAACCCGGAAAATATGTGAAAATATGGGGAATCCTGTTATTTGTGTGTATTTATTTGTGTGTCCTGGCGCCCCTTCAGTTCAGGGGGGGACGCATCGACCCCCCATCGCCCGTCGATCGCCGATAAGGGGCCCGCTGGCCCATTCCGCCCAGGAGCGGGCTCGCCGGCCGATCGGCGCTGCATCGCTGCGCTCGGCCCGCCCTCGCGTTTTTCCCTTCCGGCCGCCGTCACGTGCGCGCGGCGGCGCTCCCCCGCGAGGTCCAGGCGGTGGAGCTGCTGGCTCGGCTGGTGGACGACGTCAAGCCGTTGGACTACCTGACCACCATGCTCCTGTTCGTCGCGCTCAGCTTCGGGGTGGGTCGGCGAGAAGGGGAGGAAGAGGAGGAGGAGAGGGAGGAGGAGATGGAGGAGGAAAAGGCAGAACATTAATATCATAATAATAATAATCATCATAATAATACTAATACTACTAATAATAATAAGAATAATAATATTACTAATAATAATAGTAATAATACTACGAAGAGGAAGAATTGGAGGAGGGGAAGCAGTAGGAGGAGGAAGAGGACGACGACAAGGACCTTTTTAAAAGAAAGGAAAGGGAGGAGGGGAGGCACCATGGGGACGGGGAGGGGAAGACTGGGGGCTGGATAAGGAGGATGCGAAGGACGGCGAGCGCGACCATGACAACGACGATCCTGCCGCCGCCGTCCGTTGTAGTAAAGGTCGTCGTCGCCGCCGCAGATCCGATTCTGTTCCTCGACGCCGAGTGTTTCGAGCCGCATCCAGTCGTGGCGACGGGAACCCCTGGAAACGCCCCGAAACCTTCCGAAGCTACGACGACGCCGGCGCCGCCACCGCCGTCGTCGCCGCCGTCGCCGCTGCCCGCCGTCGTCCTCGGCGTCGCCGCCGCCGTGGCACTCGCGGTCGTCGACGTCGTCGTCGCCATCGTCGCCTTCGTCGTTGTCCTCGTCGCCGCCGCCGCCGTCCTCGTCGTCCCCAGAGATCCGACGTTGCAGACACATTGGAGCATCGCTAAATTCACGACCGGAGGCCTAGACCCCATCATGGTGCAGCATTTTTCTAGCCATATCGATCTGTGATGGTCTTGGGGCCCGAAGCCGGGCGACAACGCCTGGTGTGAACAAATTGCACTGCCTGGATCTCAGGGTCGGCGTCGTCGCCGTCGGCGCTGACGGCGACGAGCCGCCCACCCCTCCGCGGGGGAGGTCCCCGCTGCCGTCCCCGGCGCCGTCGCTGGCGTCCCCCTCGCCCTCGCCGTCAACGTCGCCTTCGCCCTCGCCATCGCCGTCGCCATCGCCGTCGCCGTCGTCGTCGTCGTCGTCGTCGCCGTCCTCGCCGCCGCCGCCGCCCCATCCTCGACGCCCTCGCCGCCGCCGCCGCCCCTGCGCCGACCGGCGATGCGCCGCCCGCCCTCGCCCCGCCGGGGGGGGAGGTCCTCGACACGAGCCGGCGGTGGCTGGGCGCCGCGGCCGAGGCGCTGGCGTGGGCGCTCTACGGGCTGCTGCCCGGCGCGGTGCTGCCCGCCGTGCGGCTCCTGGGAGAGCCCCGCGGCGCCGCCGTCGGCGCCGCCGCCGCGGCCCTCGTCGGCCGCCGTCCGCGGCCGCCGCCGTCGTCGTCGTCGTCGCCGTCGTCGTCGCCGTCGTCGTCGCCGTCGTCGTCGCCGTCGGCGTCGTCGTCGCCGTCGTCGTCGTCGTCGCCGTCGGCGTCGTCGTCGCCGTCGTCGCCGCCGCCGACGTTGTCGTCGTCGTTGTCGTTGCTGTCGTCGTCGTCGTCGTCGTCGTCGTCGTCGTCGTCGTCGTCGTCGTCGTTGTCTGTTTCGGCTTTGTCCGTTGACGCCGACGTCCACGACGGCGCCGTCGGCGTCGGCGTTGTCGTCGTGGTGTGTCGTCGTCGTCGCCTTGGTCCGCTGTATTCGTCCTCGTCGCCGTTGTTGTCATCGTGGTTCGCTGTCGTCGTCCAAGGGTAGTATTAGCAGTGATACGCGCAACTTCATGGTGACATAGTAACACCTCGCAGTGCACCTAACGCTGTATTTTTCCACGTCTCAAACAAATGTTGTGTATACTACGTTGTATGTCATACGGTGTCTTGTTTACGTTGTGCTTTATACATTGTGTTGTTTACACTGTATTTTCCACGCTGTGTTGTTTACGCTGTGTTTTCTACGTTGTGTGTTCTACGTTGTGTTGTTATCGTCGTGTTGTTTACGATGTGTTGTTCCTGTTGTGTTGCTTACGGTGCGTTGCTTACGGCATGTTGTTTACGTTGTGTTGTTATCGGTGTATTGTTCACGCTGTTTTTTTCCCTGGCTGGTGTTTCCTACGTTGGGTCGTCTGTTGATATTTTCGTAAGAACCCCAAGGTGCCAGGCTAAAGCTTTCCTAAGGAGTTAGGACAAGGTTTTCGTAGGGAGCCCAAACACTTCATACCTGCAACGTGTATTTCGTGCAGCATCTAAGGAAGGAAGGAAGGGACGCGGGGGAGGGAGGAAGATGGAGCATGAGAGAGAGAGAGAGTAGCAGGAGGGGGGCTAGGAGCAAAAGCACGTGGCAGAACCAGACAGGCAGATCGGACGGGTAGACACTAACGGGCGGGTCGGGAAGGCGGGCCCAGGCGTCTTGCATGAATCGCGAGGAAGTCTCAAGCGATAGCGCGATTCCCAAATAATGTGTGAAAATCCATAACGGGAGCGCGAGTCGTAAGTGTCGACTGCGCGGCGTCTGAATACATTGCGAGGATGTCACACGCGAGAGCGCAAATCCTGTATACATTGTGAGAACGTCCCGAGAGATGGCGCGATTTGGGAGTACATTGTGAGGAAGTGTCAGGCGGGAGCAGTTGAACTCTCACTACTGAAGGATATTTATTGTTGGTCCCCCCCTGCAGCCCTTCGTGGCCCCCTCGCTGCCCTTCGTGGCCACGTTGCAGCCCTTCGTGGCCCCCTCGCTGCCCTTCGTGGCCCCGTTGCACCCCTTCGTGGCCCCCTCGCTTCCCTTCGCGGCCCCGTTGCAGCCCTTCGTGGTCCCCTCGCTGCCCTTCGTGGCCTCATTGCAGCCCCTCGTGGCCCCCTCGCTGCCCTTCGTGGCCCCGTTGCAGCCCTTCGTGGCCCCCTCGCTGCCCTTCGTGGCCACGTTGCAGCCCTTCGTGGCCCCCTCGCTGCCCTTCGTGGCCCCGTTGCACCCCTTCGTGGCCCCCTCGCTTCCCTTCGCGGCCCCGTTGCAGCCCTTCGTGGTCCCCTCGCTGCCCTTCGTGGCCTCATTGCAGCCCCTCGTGGCCCCCTCGCTGCCCTTCGTGGCCCCGTTGCAGCCCTTCGTGGCCCCCTCGCTGCCCTTCGTGGCCCCGTTGCAGCCCTTCGTGGCCCCCTCGCTGCCCTTCGTGGCCCCACATACATATATATATATATATATATATATGCCCGTCGTGGCCCCCGCTCGTTCGCGCCCGTCGTGGTCCCATCTGCATGCCCTTCGTGGCCCCGCTGTCGCCCTTTGTGGCCCCCCTGCTGCCCTTCGTAGCCCCGTTGCTGCCCTCGGTGGCCCCGTCCTTGTAATCCGCGGCTCAATCTACGTATGCCCTTCGTGGCCCCCGCTCGTTCGCGCCCGTCGTGGCCCCATGTGCATGCCCTTCGTGGCCCCGCTGTCGCCCTTCGTGGCCCCCTCGTTGTCCTACGTGGCCCAGTTGCTACCCTCAGTGGCCCCGTCGTTGCCTTCTGTGGCCCCGCATTATCAGCCCTTCGTGGCCCCCGCTCGTTCGCGCTCTTCGTGGCCCCATACGCATTCCCTGCGTGTCCCCGCTGTCGCCCTTCGTGTCCTACTTCGTGCCCTTCGTGGCCCTGCTGTCGTTCTCTCCCTCGCTCTCGCTTTCGCTCGTCGTCGTCGTCGTCGTCGTCGTCGTCGTCGTGGTCGGTCCCCTGTCCGTCCCTCTTGGGGTCGGATTGCCGCCGATCAGCGCTGCCGCTGGCCAGGGCAGCGGTCCGCGGCCGCCCCGCCGCTTGCCGGGGCCTGGTCTGCAGGGAAGAAAGGCACATTCCCCAAAAGGGGTACGATCGAAGACGAAGAGGGCGGTTATCGAGGGTTTGGGAAATACGCGTTAACGGACACTCGAGCAGATACGAGCGAACAGTCTTAACATGATTGTTGTTGTTGTTGTTGTTGTTGTTGTTGTTGTTGTTGTTGTTGTTGTTGTAAACCAGGGGCCAACAACCCAGTTTGGTGACATCTCGTTTTCCCGTGTAAATAACAGGGTGCGACCCCCAGGAGAAGCACTTTCATCAAGCATACATTGGTTTCCGGGCAAGGGGGGACAAACAATGTCTATTTTCGTGAGGGTTCAACAGCAGCAACACTCATGTTATGACTGTTCGCTCTCACCTGCCCGCGTGCTCTTCATTCAACACGTATATCCCAGATCCTCAATACACGCCCTATTCGTTTTGAATGCAACTCCCTGAGGGGTGTACCTTTCTTGCCTGCAGCGTGTACATTGTGCGGCCCCTGAGGCAGGGAAAGAGAGGACGGATGAATGGAAGGGACAAGGGGAAGGAGGGTTGCTGAAGCGTGCGTTCTGCATGCGTCGCGAGGAAGTCTCAAGCGATAGCGCGATTCCAACAAAATAAATCGTGAGGGAATCCACAGCTAGAGCGTGATTCCTGAGTGTTGCGCGGCGCCTGAATACATTGCGAGGAAGTCCCATGCGAGTGCGAGGACGTCCTGCGCGAGAGCGCGATTTGGGAATACGAGAACCGCCAGCAACAACATCAACTGTAGCGCAGGTGCTTTCCGTGAACGTCCACGGGGGTATCAGGGGGAGTTCACCATCCGCGTAAGTTCAGGTGAAGCCCGAGAATGTTGAACAACACACTGGTTTAGAACTATTTTCACTTTTTTCGAAGCCTACCCCTACAGACCCTAACCCTACATACCCTAACCTATACCGGCATGTCCATCATGATCTGATGGTTTTGAGGACCCGTTCGACGGCATGTTTAGGGGGATGCCTCCAACGAGAGCGGACTTTCAACGAAATTGTTAAACACCCATGGTTTTTCAATCATTTACGCATGCCCCTCATGGCCCCCGCTCGTTCGCGCCCGTCGTAGCCCCATGTGCATGCCCTTCGTGGCCCCGCTGTCGCCCTTCGTGGCCCCCTCGTTGTCCTACGTGGCCCAGTTGCTACCCTCAGTAGCCCCGTCGTTGCCTTCTGTGGCCCCGCATTATCAGCCCTTCGTGGCCCCCGCTCGTTCGCGCTCTTCGTGGCCCCATACGCATTCCCTGCGTGTCCCCGCTGTCGCCCTTCGTGTCCTACTTCGTGCCCTTCGTGGCCCTGCTGTCGTTCTCTCCCTCGCTCTCGCTTTCGCTCGTCGTCGTCGTCGTCGTCGCCGTCGTCGTCGTCGACGTTCGTCGTCGTCGTGGTCGGTCCCCTGTCCGTCCCTCTTGGGGTCGGATTGCCGCCGATCAGCGCTGCCGCTGGCCAGGGCGATGGTCCGCGGCCGCCCCGCCGCTTGCCGGAGCCCGGTCTGCAGGGAAGAAACGTCTATTCCCCAAAGGGGGCACGATCGAAGACGAAGAGGGCGTGTATCGAGGGTTTGGGAAATACGCGGTAACGGACACTCGAGCAGATACGAGCGAACAGTCTTAACATGATTGTTGTTGTTGTTGTTGTTGTTGTTGTTGTTGTTGTTGTAAACCAGGGGCTAACAACCCAGTTTGGTGACATCTCGTTTTCCCGTGTAAATGACAGGGTGCGCCCCCCAGGAGAAGCACTTTCATCAAGCATACATTGGTTTGCGGGCAAGGGGGGACAAACAATGTCTATTTTCGTGAGGGTTCAGCAACAGCAGCAATCATTTTATGATTGTTCGCTCTCACCTGCCCGCGTGTTCTTCATTCAACACGTATATCCCAAATCCTCGATGCACGCCCTATTCGTTTTGGATGCAACTCCCTGAGGGGTGTACCTTTCTTGCCTGCAGCGTGTACATTGTGCGGCCCCTGAGGCAGGGAAAGAGAGGACGGATGAATGGAAGGGACAAGGGGAAGGAGGGTTGCTGAAGCGTGCGTTCTGCGTGCGTCGCGAGGAAGTCTCAAGCGATAGCGCGATTCCAACAAAACAAATCGTGAGGGAATCCACAGCTAGAGCGTGATTCCTGAGTGTTGCGCGGCGCCTGAATACATTGCGAGGAAGTCCCATGCGAGTGCGAGGACGTCCTGCGCGAGAGCGCGATTTGGGAATTCGAGAACCGCCAGCAACAACATCAACTGTAGCGCAGGTGCTTTCCGTGAACGTCCACGGGGGTATCAGGGGGAGTTCACCATCCGCGTAAGTTCAGGTGAAGCCCGAGAATGTTGAACAACACACTGGTTTAGAACTATTATAATTTTTTTCGAAGCCTACCCCTACAGACCCTAACCCTACATACCCTAACCTATACCGGCATGTCCATCATGATCTGATGGTTTCGAGGGCACGTTCGAGGGCATGTTTAGGGGGATGCTGGCTTTTAAAGAAATTGTTAAGCACCCATGTTTTTTTCAATAATTTCGC